CCTGGTCTTTCTACTAAAATAGACCCCGGAGACATATCTTTTATGTTTGTGTCTCAGTCAGATTGCTTGAAAGCTACTGTAAATGGTTTGCCAAAGCTAAACTAGAGCCACTTACAGTGAACTGAACAGTACATCTGATTTAGACATTTTACCCTATGAGGAACTGGGTGTCTAAGGCACAGAAGACAGGAGGATTTTTCTCTTTTAAACAAGACCTAGTGGGAAAATGTGTCCAAGTTATCATTCAGGCTGGGAGCCTCATTTCTTATTTCATTAATGAGCAAAGACTCATGAAATCACTAGGATGTTTGCAGGTTTCAGAGATAAGGAATTGAGTCTTTATAGCACATGCTGCGAAAAATACATTTGGGCTATGCGGAGGGAGAAAGGAGTTCATAAAATCATGCCTTATGCAATACTCCTATTTGATTTCACGCAGAGGCCAGTTTTACCAGCAAAGAAGTATTGAGTGCCTATATTATACGTGAAATGTGTTTTTCAGAGAGTAGTAAAAGTGTGGCTGCTCCCTAGGGGAAGATGAGCCGGGAACGAAGGAGATTCAACAGCTGGCAGGGCTCAGCCTCACACAACCATGCAAGGGAGCAGGACAGACCCACAGATGGCGGCCAGGTCTGACCAAGAGTCCTGGTCGTAAGGTAGTATCGTGGTGATGAGGTGGGTCCGAGGTTAAGCCAGCGATGGCCAAGCCCTGGTGACTACAGGTGAGGGGTCAGGATCAGGCCCAGAGAGGGGAACCTGAGCCAGACACTGCCCGGGATGGCAGGACAGGGCCTTGGGGAGAGGGACGTATAATGAATGTGGTAAAAGCACGGAGGAAAGACAGAGAAAGATATTTTATTGCTTTGGGGTTATTTATTTTTATTGTTTCTTTTATTTTTATTGAAGTGTGCAAGAACTGTCCAAATGTCTCATTTTCCTTGCCTGTGTCTGAAGAGCAGGATAAATATTTTCAGCAGGGAAATGCCCCATAATGAAAAAGTGTTTAATAATGGTAAAAATATATTATTTATTTTCTGCTGATGTAGAGTAACCTGAGCTCATGCACTTGTTTTTGACGATGATGAAAGAAATAATGTTCATTTGTTTAGTAGAAGAATAATCTTCTTTATTTTAAGTTTCCCATTCAGAAAATAGCTGTGTATATGGTGTTTGTAGGAATACAGCTATCCAGGTGGTCGGGTGGGTGACAAAGGAGGTATTTGCCTTTCCCTAGTGCATGCCCTGTGCCAGGGGGTGGGCAGCCCAACTCCAGGTTGAACAGCATCTCTCTGCCTGCCATCTCAACTTTGCAGGTGTATCTGCCCTTGGACTTAAAGCCCTGCTGTAGTACATCTACTTTTGCTGCTGCCTTCAGCAGGTGCAATGGGTCAGACTGATAAAATCTAGCAACAGCATTTTAATCACTATTCTTTCCACATAACCTGCAGAAATGTCTTTTTGCCATTCATTGCTGTCGTTCCCAAGGTGCGAGCTTCAATTTATGGAAAAATGTTGAACGTAAAGGAGTGCTTCTTGGCCTCTCCTCGCTCCCTGTCTCGTGGGGTAGAGGGTCTGTGAGGTGGGACAGCATAGTGCAGCCTAATGTTCATCTTGGCCTCTTCTTGTTCTCAGAGAAATAATCCTGCAGTCCCTCACGGGTCTCGCTTCCACCTCTGCGCCTAGTGTCAACCTTATGCCAGCTGGCAGGACCAGTCCAGCTGTGCAGTCCCAGGGAGCCTGTATCTTGGAGAACAGCTATTCATTTACATTTGGATGTGTTGACTTGTTCACCTCCACTAGTTGTTGAGATCCAGGAAGTATGGTGGCACTTGGCTCCTGGGATGGTGCAGCTGCTGATCTTCTGTCAGGCTGAGTTCATGGCCAGAGGGTAAAGTCTTCCATCAGGACACAGTATTTTCTGTTGCTTCCCTGAATGATGGCTGCTTGCAAGTGGCATTAAAATATGTCTTACCCAAGCATTTTGTGGCTTTGTATCATCATAAAAAAAAGTTACCCTTGATGGCCAAGTTCTGCTAGACGTCTTGGCTGTGTTTTTATTTTAGTTCAGGAGTGTTCCTAATTACTTGAATATAGCCACTACCTGGGAAGATGGTGCTATTCTCTGTTAATCCCATTTGCAGAAGCTACCCCTATATTTTGGAGGCTAAATTCATAGCTACCGTGCCATTAGGAATAAGGTCCTCAGATATGTCTTAAGAAACCGTCCCATTCTGGATACTGTTTCCAGTGAGCTGAATTTGTAATTTCAACCAATCCGTGCAAGATGCCTATCTCTTTATTACTGCATTTGAAATATTTTGTCCCCACTGAATATATGTTGTTAAGCATCTAATGGCCTGCCCATCTGAAGCATTTGGCTCATCACTGCTGTATCTCTGATAAGGAACAAATGAATACAGGCTGAAATGTTATGGATTCAGGTACCCTGTTCCTCTCCTTTTTGCAAATTAGATTCCCAAGTGAATGTTTTAGTTGTTGCATGTTATTTTCTTGAATATATGATTTTCTTTGTGCTCATATAAATTAGAAATTGATTTCGTACTTCTCCCCATTCAGCAGGCTGCTTTGGATAAGAATATAGTAAATGAATAATCAATAAAGTAAAACAAAAGCTTACCCTGTTGGAAAAGGTGATTTAAGAAAAGTAGCTGATTGCATATAAGGCAAATTCATTTATTTAAACGAAGCCACTGTGTTAGTCAGTTTATATGTATCAGCTAAATGAAATTAGCTTTTGCAGCTTAGGCCTCAGATCATGACTTTCAACACAATCAAAAGAGTATTAGTGGTCTTTTGTCAAATTATGTGTATTTTCCTATGAAAGACCATCACAAAAAGATCAGATATATAATTAGAACTGCAAACACAATACTGCAGTGAATATATATACTTATTTTAAAAAATTTGTATAGGCTAATAAAAAAATTTAAGTAATTTTGGGGCAGTTTACCTGTAAAAGTAGGTCACTCTCCTAACATTTTTACACTTTCTCAGTCAGATGATCATTAAATCAGTTGTTTTATAAATAGCTTTGGAAAGTTACTCTGGCAAGTTACTCTGAAAAGTTACTCCAGTGCTTCTCATTTAGTAGGAAGGAGTGTAAAAATCAACAGAGCTGATTGTGTCTTAGAGCTAGTTAGAGTTGTGCATTTCAGCACACTCCATTTCTTCCAACACAAGATCAATTTTTGAATACAGAAAAATGAATACATTTTTTACGATTCTAACTCATCAACTAACATATTCTTAGTTTAGGTCAGGATTTTTAAAAATGTCCATGAAGGGTTTGGTCACTCACCTCATCTCATTCATTGGTCACTCATCTCATATTACCGAGGAGGTATAACCCTTCCAAGGCACTTTTGAGAATATAGAGTAGATTTTTGTAATGAAACATTTGCCTTATGTAAAATCTGAACAGAACACAAGGGCTAACTGCCTGTAATGGATATGACAGGAATGCTGCTGCTCTTGGATTTGTGCGGGTTACTATATAATGTTAATATAAAATGGGTGACAATGTTTGCATTATTTGCATAGAACATGAGAATGTTCAACTAGCTGTTCAATGTATGGTATTTTAGTAAAGTATTTTGTTACCACAGTTTTGTGTGTTCACTTATCTTTTCGGTTGTGAATGTTTAACATTTTTGGGATGTAGTCAAGTTAGGAGGCTTGTTCATTTTCCCAGTTAAAATTAATAGAATCATAGAATCATTCAGTCTGGAAAAGACCTTTAAGATCATCAAGTCCAGCCTTTAACCTAGCACGGCCAACTTCACCACTAAACCATGTCCCTAAGCACCACATCTACACATCTTTTAAATATCTCCAGGGATGATGACTCAACTGCTTCCCTGGGAAGCCTGTTCCAATGCTTGACAACCCTTTCAGTGAAGAAATCTTTCCTAATAGCCAATCTAAACTCTTGTGGCAATGTGCTCTTGCGGCCCAGAAGGCCAACTGCGTCCTGGGCTGCATCAAGAGGAGCGTGGCCAGCAGGTCGAGGGAGCTGATTCTCCCCCTCTACTCTGCCCTCGTGAGACCTCACTTGGAGTATTGCGTCCAGTTCTGGAGTCCCCAACATAAGAAGGACATGGACCAGTTGGAGAGGGTCCAGAGGAGGGCCACAAAGATGATAAGAGGGCTGGAGCACCTTTCCTATGAGGACAGGCTGAAAGAGTTGGGGCTGTTCAGCCTGGAGAAGAGGAGGCTCCGGGGTGACCTTATAGCGGTCTTCCAGTACCTCAAGGGGGCCTACAAGAAAGATGGG